AGTACGTCTCTCTCTCTCACACACACTCCGTACCTGAGTATGTCTCTCTCTCTCTCACAGACACTCTGTACCTGAGTATGTCTCTCTCTCTCACACACACTCCGTACCTCAGTATGTCTCTCTCTCTCTCCCACTCTGTACCTGAGTATGTCTCTCTCTCTCACACACACTATGTACCGGAGTACGTCTCTCTCTCTCACACACTCTCTGTACCTGAGTATGTCTCTCTCTTTCACACACACTCCGTACCTGAGTATGTCTCCCTCTCTCTCCCTTACACGCACTCTGTACCTCAGTATGTCTCTCTCTCTCTCCCACACTATGTACCGGAGTACGTCTCTCTGTCTCACACACACTCCGTACTGGAGTATGTGTCTCTCTCTCTCCCTTACACACACTCCGTACCTGAGTATGTCTCTCTGTCTCACACACACCCTGTACCTGAGTATGTCTCTCCCTCTCACACACACTCCGTACCTGAGTACGTCTCTCTCTCTCACACACACTCCGTACCTCAGTATGTCTCTCTCTCACACACACTCCGTACCTGAGTATGTCTCTCTCTCTCACACACACTCCGTACCTCAGTATGTCTCTCTCTCACACACACTCCGTACCTGAGTATGTCTCTCTCTCACACACACTCTGTACCTGAGTATGTCTCTCTCCCTCTCTCTCACACATACTCTGTACCTGAGTACTTGCCACCTTTATTTCTCTTGATGAAGCAGACAATGAGCAGGATGAGGATCAGAAGGATGATAGCACTGATGAGTCCGATGAACCAGCCCTGAGTGACGATGCCATTACTGATCTCGGTGAAAGCTGCAGCACACAGAGAGAGAGAGACAGAGAGACATTGCGGACACGGCCAACACACTGTCCTTCTGAACTGACACCCCTCCCCAACTCAAACTGGAACACTCACAGATTTCAGCATTTCCATGTACATTGTTTCCCTCTCCCATAAGGAATTTCCGGGATACAGTATCAGCCTGTCTCCGAAGGAGTCTCATAGACTCCCAGTGTATACCCCTGTCTCTTTCTCTCTCAGACACTGAGACCTTCCAGTGTATACCCCACTCTCTCTCTTTCTCAGACACTGAGACCCCCCCAGTGTATTCCCCAGTCTCTCTCTCTCTCTCAGACACTGAGATCCCCAGTGTCCACCCCAGTCTCTCTCTCAGACACAGAGACCCCCAGCGTATATCCCAGTCTCTCTCTCAGACACTGAGACCGCCCCCCCCCTTTGTATACCCAGTCTCTCCCTCTCACCCCCACAC